TGGGGGGGGGGGTGACGTTACGGCATGTGTCTTGACAGAGGGAGGGGATGTCTGATGCTGAAAATACTGGTTCTTGTCTTGTGTTGATGTGAGGGGGTTGCTGCTTAGGGGGTTGATAGTCTAATAATCCCTTTGCCCAGCCCATGGTGTTGATATATCATAGCGAGCGACAAGAAGTGAGACGAAAGCGAGAGTGAGTGAGAAAAACACAACAACAACAACAACAACAACAACAACGATAAACATGCCCACAATGGAATCCAACACTGGCAATATCCCCCTCTTAAGTCAGTCATTCCCCCAAGCCAAGCCTCATGCTGACACCAAGCTAATGTGACCTTCTTGCTCAACCCCTGGCATTCATCACAACGTTACGCTGACATTCGCCCGCTCGTAAACTTCTTACTTGACCCAATCATCTCACAAAGCTAATCACTAGCATGAATGAGCGCATCATATCTGGGATTTACCTAATCTTCATCAAAACACTGTTGCACAGCCTACCTACGATCCCAATCAGGAAGGCGACTTACATGATGGACTGACTCAGTCGCGGGTTAGGGTTAACATGCTACCCCTGACTCCTTCAACACAACAAAAACAAACAAACCATCACTACAGTCATCCAAGTTAAACAATATGCAACTAAAAAAAAAAGTTCCTCCTTTCCCTATCCTCATCAATATCACAACATCCCATTTCACAGCAAAACATGCATTAAACCATCATCACACCCCTCCACTCCTCATTCTCCCAAAATTTTCCCTGTGACCCCATTCCCATTTTAAAAAAAAGCGCAAAGAATATAATACAGGTTTCCTCCCCCGCTCAATCCCCAACACAAGTTCCCCAAACCCCTTCGAAGGACTCAATAATACCCCAGCCGCCCACCGCAATAATACTATTGTTGCTGGCCACCAGCGCCAGCACCACCACCAACATTCCCCCCTCCCCTAGGCCTCTTCCCCCCCCGCTCCCCACTCCCAACCTCGCTATCATTCCTCGGCCTCTTGTTACCAGCCGATGGGTTCGGGTTGAACTCTCCCGCAGCAGGGTTCAAGTGGCCAGCATTGCCAGCAGCCGCTGCGCCTCCCCTACCCTGAAACCCACCCCTTCCGCGATGACCACCTGGTCCACCACGTCCCGGAGCCTGGTAAACACCTCCCCTTCCTCCGCGGCCAGCGGCAGCGCCACCTCTGGGCAATGGGATACCAGTTCTAACTGCTGGCTGTGGGATCTGTTGTTGTTGTTGCTGTTGAGGTTGAACAGGCTGGGCTTGCGCAGCTGGAGCTGGCTGACCGAAGGGGTTGACCACAGGCAAATTGCTCGGCGCTGGGGTGGTGGTAGTTGCTTTTTGGGCAAAGGCGGGACCTGTCGATGGAGCTGGGATTGCTGAGCCAGGTGCTGGGATGCCTGTGGATGCTGGCTTGGGAATCTGAGGAGCCGGAGGTTTAGGCTTCTCCTCCGTTGGGGTGGCTACTGTGGTGTTAGCATCTTGTCTTCGCAAAACGTCGACGGCATCGATAAGAAACATACCAGCAGGAGCAGCTTGCGCCGTCGCAGATGCAGCCGCAGCCGGAGCCGCAGGGGCCGGAGTAGGCGTAGGAGCTGGCGCCGGAGGCTTCGCGTCCTTCGCAATCTCCCAGACTTCCACAACAGGACGCTGAGGTGTCTCCTTCGCAGCCGTCTCAACAATCTGAATCTTGGCCTGCGCAGTCTTGTGTTGCCTGTCGAGCATGTTAAGACGCAGAGCTGATTTCTTCTCGGTCAGCGCAGACGCCTGTTCCTTGGCGGTGGCAATCTTTTGCTCATATTCAGCCTTGAGCGAGGCCTCAGTAGCCTCCTTTGCCTTCTCCACCAATTTCTTCACATTGGACTTGACAATGTTGGCCACAACAGTATTGTTAGCAATAAAGCTGCGGACTTGGCTCTCACTAATGTTCGCAATGTCGAAGCCAGGAGTACCAACGACTGGTGTTGCTGGTGGTTGCTCACCAGCCGGCTTGACCGGTGTAGACGGAACGCCGTTTTGGGGCGGTGCCGAGGTAACCTGTTCAGCCTTGACAATAGCAATCTCCTGCTGCAACTTCAATTGGTACTCGGCCTCCAGTTTGGCTTTCTCCTCCTGAGCCTGCTTTTCCAGGTTCTCCTTGGACTCCTGCAGTTTCTTGTTAAGGGCTGTCTTCATCTTTTCGGACCGGGTGCGAACGATGGCGTCGGATTGCTCCTCCAACTCCTTGGCCTTCTGCTCGAATTCAGCAGCCTTGGCCTCGGCGGCAGCGATCTTCTCCTCCAAAGCCTTGCGCTCCTCATCAGTGAGGCTGCCAACAGGGGCCGCAGAAGGGCCGTCTTCCATTGTGACATCACCACCAGAGGCAGCAGCCCTAGCCTGATCGCGCTCAGATACAGCAGTCGCGAGCTCCGTCTGCAGTTGTTGAATTTGAGCATCGGTGGCAGCCTTGTCGGCCTTGACAGCCTCCAGTTCTGACTTGAGGCTCTCGAGCTGCTGATTGAGTTGTGCAACCACTTCGGAATTGTCGCCGTTTTCGGTTGGCTGCGAGAAGACTGAAACCGGGGCAGCAGCCACTGGTGCTGGAGCCACAGCCTTTTGCTCAAGTTCCTTCTTCTTCTCTGTCACGCTGGCCAACTCTTGTTTCGTCGTAGTAAGCTCCTGCTCGACGCCCGCCAAGCGTGCGTTGAGGCCGTCAATCGTCTCCTGCAGCACAGCCTTGTCGTTAATAGCCTCATCGCGCGCCGTCTTCATGGCCTTATAGCGTCCCTTGAAGTCCTCTGCAAACTTCTCTCTGAGGGCCTTCCACTCGTTCGACTTGGTTTCCAACGTTTGCTCGGCCTCCTTGAGCTTCTCCTGCAAAGCCTGCCCCGAAGCCTTGAGAGCGTCACGCTCCGTCTCAAGCTCCATGATCGTGACCTTGAGCTGCTCAACCTCCTGGGGATCAGACTGGCCATACTTGCTGAGAATAGACTCAATTCTCTTCTGCAGGCCATCCCGGGCTTCCTGGAGCTGCTTGATCTCTTGCTCCTTGAAGTTGCGGTCAAAGTCAAGCTCCGAGATGCGAGCCTCAAGAGGCTGGATCTTGGCCTCCAGCTCCTCAATCTTTTGTGTCTTGCGTTCAAGCTGAGCCTGGGTACGTTGGTTCTCGTTGCGCAGGGTGACATTGCTTTCGCGGATCATGTTGAGCTCAGTGAGTTTATCCATAATCTCCTTGTGCGTAGCCGAGTTGCGTGAGCTATCCGAGTTGGATCTACGCTCCTGATCAAGCTTGAGACGTGTCTCATCGAGTTGCGATTGTGAGTAATCCAGCTGTTGCTGTAAACGTTTGGCCTCCTGCAGCTTAATGTCGTACTGCACTTCCAGAATCTCCTTTTCGCGGCGCAGGTAGTTGTTGAGCTCTCTGAGGCCTTCGGTAGCGGTGTCGGCGATCGCGCCAGCGGAGACATCACCAGCACTGTCCGCGCGGTTCTGCTGAAGGGCGGCAATCTGGGCAGTGACACTGTCGAGTTGCTGGTGTAGAAGCTTGTTCTGCGCCGCGGCGTCTTCTTTTCTAGCCTTGATCTCAGTGATCTCCTGCTCAAGCTGTACCTTGCGTTCCTCCCAGGATTGTTCGCTCTGGCGCAGGGCCAGTTTAGCCGACTCAGCTTCAGCCTTCCACTTGCCAGACTCGATCTTGAGCTCGTTGAACTTTGTCCGAATATCTTGCAGGGCCTTGGCGGCCTCAGCGTGCTTGACCAACTCGTACTCGTACTCTTGTTGAGCCTTGACGGTGATCTCCTGTTGAGTGCGCAGATCCTGTTGATGATACTTGGCGATTTCCCTGTATTTCTCCTCCTCGCTCTTGAGCCGGGCAATCTCACTGTTGAGAATGCGCTCCTTCTCCTCCGATTTCCGCGCGACATCGGCTTGCGAATCGCGAAGCTTGTTAAGCTCGTTATTCGAAGCACCGAGCTCCAACGTGAGAGCCTCCACGCGCTGCTCCAACTCGGTGATTGTGCTCACCTTAGCATTCGCGTCCTTCTCCCACTCCGCCGTGAATTCCTGTTGAGTCTCGAGCAGAGTGTTCAGCTCATCCTCAAGGGATTGGCCATGTGTCTTGTATCGCTCGGCCTCCTCCTTGGCATTCTCCAACTGCATATTGACCAAATCCAACTGGTTCTTGAGATCCTGAACCTCGTTGTCCAGCTCATCAATGCGCTCCTGAGCCTCGGCACTGATACCGCCCTGGTCGTGTATCGTCCCTGGTCGGGGAGTCGGCAGAGGACGAAGTCTCTCGGCACGCTCTTGGGCGTTCCTGACCTCAATCTCCAGCTCGCTCACACGAGCCTGAAGATGGTCGCGACTTGTCTTGAGTTGGGCATTGTCCTGCTTGACTTGTGAAATGGCGCTTAGGAGTTCGTCGATGCGCTTCTGGGCTTGTTGGGCGTCGTATTCCTTCCGCTGTTGAAGCCTGCGTCCTTCATCTATCTCTTCTGAAAGCTTTCGCTTGGTTGTGGTAAGTTCGGCATCCAAGGCATCGATTTGACCCTGAAGTCTGCGCTTGGTTTCCGACTCGCTAAGTTCCCGTTCATTAAGTAGCGATTGCTGGTTTGACAAAAGATTGTTAAGTCTGGTCTTCTCCTGCGCAAGGCTTTCGTTGTCGCCGCTAAGCCTTTCCTGAATTGTCTTCCACAATGTCTTTTCAGCCTTCAGATTGGCGTTCTCGCTCCGCAAGCTTTCGACAAGCCCGCGAGCCTCAACGAGATCCTCAGCCACCTGCTGCGTCCGCAAGTCTTGCTTGGCAGCAGACTCCGACAAAGACTGATTCCTCTTCTGGATCTCCTGCTTCTCGGTTTGAAGGGCCTTGAAGTTAGACTCAAGAATGCTATAGCGTTCGGCAGCAAGAGTAAGCTGGCTGGAGACGCGTGAAATCTCGCTCTGAAGAGAGGCCTTCTCGGAGGAGAGCTTCTGGATCTGATCTTTGAGGGCGTTTCTGTCAGCAGACTGGTCGGCCCGGTATGCGTCGTACTGAGCTTGCAGATCCCTAAAGGCCTGCACAAGATTGTCGTCGGTTTGAGCAGGTTGTTCGATGCTAGCAAGCACCTCACGCCCACCGTCCCCGGCGATACCAAGGGCTTGTCTGATTTCAGCAGAGTCGGCCTTTTGCTGCAGCATCCGACGGAACATGTCACGTTCTTGAACGTAGCTCCTGGACTTGACCAAAAGAGTCTGGATCTCTTCTTGAAGTTGGCGAATGGTATTGTGCAGTTCCTGCGGGTTCTCCAGCTCCAAGGCCTCTTCCCGTGCCTTGGTGTTTGCTTCCTCATCCTCCATCTTATTGGCGAGCTCGCGAGTAATTCTGAGAAGCTCCTCGTTCTTTTGCTGGAGCTCAGCAATGTTCTTGAAGACCACAAACCTTTCTGTGATAAAGCGGTGAGTGTCGGACATATCCTCAAGTGCGTTCTCGCTGATCTCTCCACGCTGCATCCGTTCAAACTGTTCTTGTTCGTCCGGAGTCAACATATCCATGCCCTTCTCCTGGGCATGGGCGTTGAAGACAAGGACGTGAACCTGGGTCCCGAGGTCACGGACCTGAGCACGGAAGATCTTGTTCTCTGCTTGGATGGATGCGACAGTAACCTCAGCTTTACGCTGGGCCTTCTTGGCCGCCTCGGCTGTTTCCCATGCTTGTTGCGACAGTTCGGTGTACTTGTCCAAATCGGCCTTGAGCTCCTCATTTTGAGCCAAGGTCTCCTCCAACTCTGGCGCCTTGGCCTCCAGCATACCAAGCACGTCGTCGAGATCCTGCTGAAGCTTTTGGTTCTTGCGCTGTTCAGTCGTGAGTTGAGCCTTGACCTTGAGAAGTTCCTCCAGAGTATCCGTAGCACGCTTGCCGCGAACCGAGAGTGGCGTGCCGAATGGAGATCCAGGACGAACCATAAAAGAACCATTGGCCCTTGGAGTTTGCGGCGCTTCGCCATGAGACTGTTCGGATTCGACGACGGACACGCGCAAACGATCGATCTCGGCCTGCAGGTTCTGTGTTTGCTGCTCTGCTTGGGTGAGATCTTGTTTCGCCTGCTCAAGTTCCCGGCGCACACGGCGCATCTCCTCGGCATGGTCATCCTTGACCTGCTCCAGACGATCCGTTACCTCCTTTAGCCTTTCGCGGTGAGTCTCTGATTGTTGATCCTTGAGGTCGACGAGACGCTTCTGGGACTCAAGCTCCTGCCTGAAGCTCTCTTCGGCACGGGAATTGGACTCTTGAAGCTGCTGGACCTTGCTCAAAGCCTCCTCCGCCTTTGACTGAGCTTCATCCAACCTCTTCCGCAGCTGTTGTTCAGACCGAGTGAGCGATTCGATGGTCGAGTTCGCATCCTCGTTCATTCGTTGGAGCTCGGCAATACGAGCGCCCTTCTCCTTTCGGAACTTGAGGCTCTCGGCGGCCTTTGTCTTGAGTTCGGCATCATACCACTCGTTGTTCTTCTTAGCAAGTTCAAGCTCCTGTTTGAGTGCCTCTTCCCGGTATTTGGCCGAGTTCGCGGCTGTCTGAGCCGATTGGACAGACTGGTTTAGCGAAGAGATCTCCGAGTTAAGCTTCAGAATCTTCTGATGCTGCTTCTGGAGCTCTTCAGCAAGGGTGGCATTGGCGGTTGTCTTGGAGTCGACGATGGCCAGTGTCTCGCGGTTCGATGTCTCGAGGGAGGCAATACGAGCGCGCAATGTGTCAATTTCGGACTGCGATGCTGATCCGGATGATTTCAGGGCCTGGAGCTCATTTTCGATTGATCGTCTCGAAGATTCTGATGTTTCGAATTGTCAGCCAAGCTCAGCCTATCTGGCAGCTGAAACAGCGCGCAAACAAACCTTCACTCTGCAGCTTCTGTCGAAGCTCTTCCACCTCCTTCAGCGCCTTCTCGGAGGTCGCCTTGAATTGCTCGCAGCGCGATTCCGAACCCCGGATAGCGCCTTCCAGTTCAATCTCGAGCTGGAATTTTTCTTGCTCCAAGTCGCGTAGCTTGGTGAGGACAGCTTGGAGGATGGAGGTGACAAGCTCTGGGGTCGGCGCGGTGACGACTGTGTTGAGGTCGAGCTCTGGGATGCCGGCGTTGGCCGACAAGTACCCCAAGTCCACCTCGGCCGCGGCCATGGTGTTTCCTGCTCGCGTGTTTGCCCTGGTTCTCAGCGCATAGAAGGAGCTTTGTTGGTTTAAATCCGCCCGTGGTTAAGACCGGTCGAGAAAGAGGGGCCAATCGAAGGCGGCGAGTCGTAGTCGATGAAGGTCGCCGGCGGGAGATGAAGTACTCCGTAAACGAGATGGGTCTTGTTGATTCAGATTCCCCGGATATGCAAATGGAAAGGTCGCGGGTTGTGGTTGGTGACTTCTTTTTCGACTGTTTTCGGAGGAAGGCTGCTGCTGCCAGGAACCAGTCGCGCTTTAAAGTGGGGACCTAGTGGAGTGTGTGACAGCACAGCGCTTGGTATGAGTGGTCTGTGCATCGCCCGTTCGACCACAGCCAGCCTCGCCAATTCTTTGTTCAAAAACAGCGCCAAGAGCTCGATAAAAGTAGGCCGTCTTTGAATGGTTTCTCAGCAGCACTCACTTTAAAATTCAACAACCACAGTGGACCATCCCAATATTCATTATGGAATGGAATTCAACTTATCAACCCAGTTCGCTAAATATCACACATTGAAATAGTCAAAGTCTAACCTCGCCTTCCTCTCATAATAACTTATACCTGGTAGCCCAGATCACCTCCCCCGATGATAAGCCTCCCCATCCATCTCATACGTCCCCGGCACAGGGCCCGCCTGCCACGACGCCTGCCCAGTCGGCGCTGGCGGTTGCTGTGACTGTGGCGGCACGTACCCAGTCTGATACGGCTGGAACCCTCCTCCTTGCTGCCCTTGAGGCTGCCCATATTGTCCCCCCTGCCCATGCAGCTCCTGCGTCCCCGGCGCCGCAGGAGGAGCAAACATCATCCCCTGACCCTGGAGCTCCGGCCTGTTCATATTCACATTATGCAAATGTGACCCCTGCCCCTGAAGCTCCGACATGTTCTGTGAGTGAGGTTGCCCCGGGTACATCGCCCCTTGGCCTGCAAGCTCAGGTCTATTGGCCATCGGTGCTCCTTGACCATACAGTTCCGGAGCATGTGGTGGAGGTGGCACCATGGCTCCTTGCCCTTGGAGTTCTGGTCTGTTGGCTTGGGGGGCTCCCTGGCCGTACAGTTCTGGGGCTCTTGGCTGTGCTGGGGAGTGATATGGGTTTGGCGGAGCGAGAACTGGTTGAGTGTTCTGCGATTGAAGCTCGGATGTGCCCGGCATGGGTGGGTAGAGAGAGGAAGCAGCTGCTTGGCCGTGGAGTTCGGGTGCGTTTGGTGGTGAAGTTGAATTGTAGGGGCTCGGTGTTTGAGCGTGAAGTTCTGAGGTGCCTGGCGTTGGCGGGAAGAGCGCGCTGTGGACCGCAGATTGGTTCTGCGGGGGTGAGTATGGCCCTGTGGTCGAGATTGGTGATACGTTGTCTGTTCTTCCAGGCGAATTTACTCGCAGTGTCGAGCTCGGAGCTGGTGAGTCCACCGGCGGAGGAGCAGCAACGACGTCAGACGCAAATGTTGGCTTGTTGACGGCGGCAATGGGACTCGCAAAAGGCCGGTATGTTGGGGGAGCAAGCTTGGGTTCGACCGACGGTTGGGGTGGTGGAGCAGCCAGCGCGGCCAAACGCTCTTGTTCTCGACGGTTCCGGGAGGACTTGCAGAGACGCCAGATCAGAGCACCCAGGAGAACTATGCCTCCGATGGCACCTGCCGCAATGCCGATGATCATGCCGAGATTAGTCCTGGAGGAGTTGTTATCTGTGTTTGAATCGCCACCACTACTCCCGCCTCCTGAGCTACCCGGGCCACCTGTTGCTCTGGGGACGCCGCCAGAAACCCCAGTTGCATATGTTTGGTCAACCGAATTCGTGACCCCGGCGGCCGTCACTTTGTTCTCGGCAGCACTGCAATAGTAGTTGTAAACCTACAAATATGTTAGCGGGCTTGTCGTCTATAAGGACTTTGAAACCCTACCGAGATAGCAGAGCTAACATCCTCCGTTGCTGTCGACCTGCAATATGCCTTCACGCTTGAAGTAATCTCCCTTGAGAGCTCCAGTGTCATCCCCTCCTTTAAGCAAGCGCACGAGGCCAATGCTTTGGGGCCAGCAGGACACAGCCCTCGCGTTTGCTACCAGCCATGGTCAGCACCTGTTCTGTCTCGTCCTATCCGATCTACCTACCCCTTGGAGAGCATAGCTTAGTCCTGAGGCGGCACAGGGAGCGAGCGTCTGGAATTGCGGCAAGTCGGTGACATAATATGTCATAGCACCAGGCGGGTCTGTCGGCTTGGGGAAGTTCGAGGTTCCGTTGTTCAGGCCGCAGTAGCCAGCAAACATGGCCTGGGCAGACGACACATCGGCCGCGTTGGAGGAGCACGCTCGCCTGACTGAGGTGTTGATTTCCTGGCTCACCAAGAGTGAGTTCTGGTTCTTGAAGCACGCGCAACTCGCATAGCCTGCGTTATCTGTTGGGCATTTCCCTCTCTATTCACCGGTTGTCGTTAGTATCCAACTGCGTTAGAAAGACTGTGCATTTGGCCTACCAGGTCTCTGTTCACAACGATATCAGCAAAGCGTCCTCAAGCAGCACGAGGAAAGTTGAACGTGCGATGAGACTTACCGAACAGCATAGCTCAAGGCCGTCCTTGCGCATGGGGCCAAAAGATCCATCTCAGCGATATCAGTGATTGCCACAGACACGGCAGTTGGAGAAGGGAACGAAACAGGTGTTGCCTGGTTGCAGTAGGCACTCAGGACAGTCGCCGCAGAGGACTGGTCCTCGGTCGCTGTTGATCCGCATGTTAACCTGACACTAGAGGATATATCCGACGCTATAGAGGCGAAGTTGTTGTTCTTGCTGCAAACACACGATTGAAGCTCTGTCACGGCTTGGGGGCAGGCGTTTCGCGTTAGACCCTGGATGTTGTAGCTCACAGCCCATGATGCGCATGGTGCCTGTCGTGAGTCGCAGTTAATCAGATATGGTCCCTATTCATTGGGAGCTGAGATAAGATGCGCGTACAAGAGAGTTGAAGATGGTCAAGTCTGTCACGTAGACAACCGACTGTGACACCACGAACGTGATTGTCTGAGAGAGCAAAAGGGCGAGCAGCATCGAGGCCGGGGGATATCGGCGGCCCATCTTGATAGTCGACAACAAGATAAGACAGTATATTCAAAAAGATGGAAGCTGGAGTCGCTAATGCTCTCCCAACAGAGTGTCACCAAATCCCTCACATGCAGATGTGACTTCTGCTATGTGTGAACAGCCGAATGGGTACCACGGTTGGTCAGGTAGAAAGAAACAGAGAAAAGGAGACCGTCCAGATTAGAGAACTTTTGCCCCATCCATGTTCATGTCACGAGGGAAGCGAGCAAATGCTACAGGAAGGGGGCCGACGTGGGGACCAGGCTGCTCCCCATCTTTTCTCAAAAGGACTGGACTGGCTTTGCACTGCAGACAACGCAGGTACCATGAACCGCGGAGAGGGGGGGCGGTTTGGTGTTGAGACCCCTGCAAGCTGAAAAGCCCAAACCGAACTTCAAGCTCATGCTCTTGAACGAAGCCACCAATGGGAGACGAGGTCCGAAAAGGCGGCAGCCCAATGGGGGATCGGGCGGGAAGCGATAAGACATGGGAAAATGTGTGGCTTGAGCTTTGGGCTTAACTTTTCGATTGCGGATGAAAATAGTCTGTGTTCCAAGAGAAGACATCATGACATCTGGTCTTGGTGATTATTCTGTTGGAAATGAGGTTTCCACTGAACTGTTGGGAAGGCTGCTGCTGTGTGAGTTGAGATGCCCAAAAGACCCCAGTTTCCCCGTGCATGAGCGTGTCGATCTTTGCCTGTCAGCTGCGGGGGAAATTGACGCCGATAGAAGGAATCTTTGAGAAGCCAAAGCTGGTGCAACATCGAGCGGATGGGAACTCTTCAGCAGCTGAAGAGATCGGATTTCTGCAAGAGCACAGTCGGCAATACCCGCGCTTAGAGAAATGGCAGGAGCACCGTATCTGCAAGCCCTCAACCTGCAAGCCATGGTTATTTTTGTCCCATTCCCTAAAACCTAACCCAAGATCATCATAACATAACCAACAGTCGTTCAGTTCGTCAAAATATCCAACCTCGCTCCTTACAACACCGCTTACTCCCCCTTATTACTTTCTGCTCTCTTGAATGCCGCCACCAAACTCTTGAACCTTCCCACGTCAAGCGGAATCCTCTCCCCCAGCCAAATCGCCCTCTCGGTATGATTCTTCAGCTCCCTCTCCAACTCATGTGGTACGTCATCTTCGTGAGTAGTGTTGGGGTGCACCAACACGGACAGAGGCCCTCTCCAAATCGCTAGCCACGGAATGAAGGCTCCAAACTGTGCAGGAGTGAACAAGTTCACCTCAAACATAGCGACCGGATGCGGTCCCACAGGGCGGTCCCAGAAGGTATAGATACGTAGTTCTGGGAATTCATGCCGGATTCTCTGCCAGAGCTCTCTCGCATATTGGGTTTGTTGAGGGTTGTTTTGGAAGTAATAGACATGAATGTCGCTGGGGATAGTGAGTGATGAGGTGGGTCATGGTGAGGGAACAGAAAGAGAACTTACAAACCACCCCGTCGACCGTTATCCAACGGCTCAATGAACCTTTCGTATGCCACGCTCTTCACACCCGTCTGGTTGTTGACATAGCTCTTGCCGTCATCGGTGCGCTCATCGGGAAGAGGAGGGGCGTTCTCATACCCCGCCAAGGGTGATGTGTAGTTCCATTCGAGTGCGTCTGCCATTTTCTGTTCTGATGTCTCTGACATTTGCAATTGAGTGTAGAGAACACGATCGATATTCTAGAAGGTCGGCAGAAGGCGGTTTTATACTGGATTTGTAAGTCGACGATGAAGCTGAGTGAGGGTAATGGACAATTGTGGAGCCCTTCCCCGTGGGATCCTAGCGAATAATGAAAGTCTGCCATGACGCAATCCGTCCAGATGTTGTGCAACAGCGTGGAGAAGGACAGTTATTTGATGTCAAGGATGCAAATTCTGGCGAGATATGCGTTGGGACCTGATTTTGTTTCTGTTGCAAAAGCCTGATGGTTTGTTTTGTTCTGCGTAGCTGTTTTGATATCTCACAGAAAAGTCCCCGATGGTCGGACCGGTCCTCCGTTGCGGAGCGGGAGCAAGCGGAGCCGATCCGCCCCGCCGGGTTGGGACCGCCAAGATGCCGGGCCGAGACACTTGTTCTACACTTCACTACCTATAGAGGTATCTCAAAATACCCATCTTCCCTCTGGTACTGTTTTATGCCGTACCTTGGGCTCTGGACCGAAAATTCCAGTATAGCCGTCACAACCGCCTCGTAGGCCTCGATGGTCTTCTCGACCATCTCCCATTAACCCTCACCTTCCATTGCTCTTTCTTTTCGCTCTTTGCTCGGGAAACTGATTACGCGATGATTTCCGAAAACTCACAGCCCCCAATGCCCATAGGTCTCCCAAAGATGGCCCCCACAGCACCCGCGAGAATCACGGTTCCGGTCGTGCATAGCTATCGATACCAAATTCATAGCCGCGCCATCTTTCTGGTCAACATCTCATATCAGCAACTTTTCTCGACCATCCAAGCACCTCTCAATCACAATTCTTCTTCAAGGAAACAGCTATTCACCCTAGCCCAATCATTAGCTTCCACTCTTGT